ATTTTTTATTTTTATTGAAATAATTATTTCGACTTCGACCTTTCGAGCCCGTATAGCAAACGATGAGTATCTCATCGTTTGAGCATGCGCGGGCGATCGGGTGTTTGCGTGCAATTATTATTATTATTTTTTTAATTATTTATTAATTTTTTTTATACGCAACAGCATATAAAACATGAAACAAGATTATGGGGGGGGGGGGGGAATTTATGATTAAAAAAAATAATTGAACAATTATTTAAGCCTTTATACACAACTTGTTGTACGACAACGATGGGAGGTCTGAGTAGTGATGGATTACGTCGATTGTCTCGGACGATATGAATGTACGTTTCACGAATACAACGTAGAATTTTACGGACACATCCTGCAGCTCTCCCAACCCGGTTTATTTGATGTCCCCAACACGATAATTGTTTTCGCCATCCCCTCGTCCGACAGAAAATCGCTTTTCTTTCCGCTCGTTTTCGTAGCAAATGCGTAATACATTAATTCCGACCGTTTTCGTTTTCCAAGAAGAAAACGGCACCTTTTAGCCAGTGGGACCATCGTTTACAGTTCCCTCGTGGTCACATGAGGGTTGAAAACTATGATGATAGAATTTTAAAATCCAATCCCGTATCATCGGGTTGATACACGTACGAACTGGTTATAGTTCGAGAGTGGTCGTGACCTGCGACATCGAGGATTTGAAATATACATTTTCCACGTGCTGTTAATAACGTTCGTACGTATTATTTTCACTTGAAGCGATCATTTGAATTAATGATAAATGAAATCGAATTTAATATTACCATAACGTGGGTTAGGGGTGATTAGATATCCCCGTAACTCTAGGATATAGATTCTGGGTTCACGAATTAACATTTTTTTAAAGGTCACATCGGCAATGTTGAAAATGTTTAGGGGCCATCAAAATTCAAAACAAATTTTTTCAACATGTTATATTACAGTGTATAAGTATCACAGTGATGTTAAAAATAAATAAACTTAAAACTAATAACTGCAAAAGAAATAGAAAATTGGATTGAAATTAGTGGAAAAAATGGTAAGCCTTGCTCTCAACTAACTGCTCAAAATTCGGTGTATAATAATTCGTGCACGTTAACTTCATAATTATTTCAAGGTGTTTTTCCTTGGTGAGCAGGGATCTAAACTGGTGCTTAATTACTGTAATTAGTTTATTGAAAACTATTACATTCCATAAACGACCACCCACTAATATTTTAAGGATAGGTTCACATGGATGCGTGTCAGTTTATTGCGCGTATTTAGATATATAAAGGAGTATTGTTCATGTAGCACGTCGATCGCGTTTGTTATCAAACTGTTTAGTTGATATGCGCGTTTCATAGCGATCTGTTGCTATTCATGGTATTGTAAAATTTTGTGTTTTTCAAAAAAAATCATGAAAATTGAAACAGATACGTAAATCAACGAATTTGAAAAAAAAAATCTGTCCTGTGTAATATTTCAACACGTAATTCACATAACTCTTTTACCGTGATCTCTATGTTTCGGATACAACTTAAAATAAAGAATGAAAGAAAGTCTTGCTTTCAAAATTGAACGAACCCCCAATATTTCCTCTCCATTTTTCATTTTGGTATTTCATTAATTCTTCGGCGGACAACTCACAAGCACAATACATCCATCACATCCGCTCTAGACGTACTTCTGAGCTGTACTAATATAATATTTCGACCAGAACATTCGCGTTGGAGACGCGCAACAACTTACGGTGGTGGGCATATTCGGATATCATTGATAACCCAGATTAACCGGAATATTCAATTCAGTTTTGCTGTTCAATAACTCATTTTAATGTATACATAAATTTTATTAAGATTATGCATTAAAAATTAGTTAATTGGATATTCATTCATGATACCACTGTAAGTCATAAAGGTATAAAATAAAAAAATAACAATAACTTGTTTTGGTAACTAACGATAAATTATAAAAACTGTACTCGTAAAAGTAATGATAAGTAAGCTGTAATTCGTAAAACATAATATCAATCTGTTGTTAGATTTGAATTACAATAAAATAATTTATTTTACTAGAAATGAAAAGTCATATGAAAAGATAAAGTCCGGATACTTCGGCAAATCCTTATTAAGGATTTGATTTAAAATGCGGATTTGAATACCCAGATAATCGGATGTATTCCTAATCGCAGTTAACCCAACGGTTGTACGCGCGTCCACGTCGAACCTATAATTGCCTAATAGGTATGGTTGGCAACCAGCACGACATCTGCTACGGCAGGTAAGATACAATGTATTACACTACGAGTTTTTACTATTTTTCCCTTGTCCGTGGGCCAGGTGTAAGCGTCCACATGTTCGCATAGCACGTTTCGTATGAAATGTGGTATCCGCAGCAATCGGGTTGCCTACGCGACGGCCGTTTACAGACGGATTTTTGACGATAAAATCGTTATTAAAAATTCGCATTTCCGTATGACGTCATTCGTACGAGTCAGAAAAGTTACTCTTTCGAGAAATTTTGTTGGCGTTACGTCGACAGGCCGGCACGTGCGGTACGTATGCCGCGGGTCAGGGGGCGCACTCGCAACACAAAGAGAATTCAGAAATCCATACGAATGCATTAGTGAACGGTAGAATGTCAGATAAGAATATTTACCGGTTCAGCTTTCGTCGTTCGAGTATAACTGCCAATCACTGAATAGGTGAATTAAAAAAAAAAAAAAACGATAATCGGGTAATTTTTCTTTCGATTACTCTCTCACTATCGATTGTTTCCATTAATAGTTGTTATCGGTAACAGCTCAACAACAAATCGAAATCCACGTTAGCAGAAATGTTGTGGCTTTTTCCGTTCATGGTCGGAATGGAAAATTATACGGTCCGCGCCAAGTGGCGAGTAGGTAGGTGACATACGTGTACATCAATCCGAAAAGTGTTCAGCGCAACCGTGAAGAACACCAACACGTCGACGGCATTACTGATCGTGGTTAAACAACGGGCGAAAATATTATTATGATTTCATGTTGTCGACGACATTGCCAATCCTGCTCCTTTGAATTTATTCACCATGATTATTCTTTCTTTCTCGGCCATAAAAATCTGTAAGAATTCCGGCCTCCATCGTTCTGCCCAATCATCGCGATTCAGCACACAATATTTCCGGATCCGTCACCTCCAGTGTGTTTCTTATTTCATCGCTTTCTAGGCCTTCTTCTGGGTCGTTTTCCCGTAGAATGTTAACGGAAAGCTAACGAGCGAACGCTACTGATTGCATTTGAACAACAACTGAAACATCAATTTTTCGTCGCCGTCGTGTCGTACTCATATTTCGAGTACACCGTGTTTAAATTATCTGGAGTATCAGTGCCATTGCCGTGTACGCTGTGACGTTATTGTTGTTCGACTCATTCTAAAGCGTAACGGTTGCGTGCGGATCCGCGGCCATTATTGGTCGTGCACGCGCTCCGGGAACGAGTCGGATTTCCTCGCCCCCGCACATCCTGTCATGACTCGCGCTTACGTGATCTCTCACGTTTTCGCTCATCTTCCCCATTCCCCGATCGTTATTGTAAAACTGTAATTGAAATCCGAGGAAATCGAGGGGAAAAAGAAAACCGTTCTGAGCCGAACTTCCGTACACACCTACATAGAGTTTCCACAGTCGGGCGCGAAAACGGTTACGACGACGACTTTCGAAACGAGATTATAAATCATCACATCGTTGCCCGGTATCGTTTAATTTATTCGGTAGGAACGAAAACATGTTGAACACGACAAAAGTTTATTTTTTTCCTCGCCTTTTTTTTTTACGTAATGACATCGTTACGCAATGACACGCGTATTCGACGAATGGTAAAAATAATGTTCGCCAGACAGAAATAATGGGAAAAGAATAAAGAAATCCGGCACCGGTGTCTCATTATTATCGATTTCCTAGGAAATATACCGTACACGTATATATATATATATATACATTTTTAATATTTAATAATAATAAGTTTTTGGATTGTTATGGAAATTATATAATTTATAAACATCACGTGCTCGACAATACGTTACGACTAAAGAGCAGCACCTACGCACTGTCATTTCGGAAAGGGTACAGTTAAAAACGCATTAGCAACGCTGCACTACGATACACGGGCAAGACTAGAGGCGGCACGGTTAAGTGATAATAACGGTGTGAAAATTACGATTAAATAATTAAATAATAAATTACATTTGAATAATGAATGGTGTCGAGTAATGTCCGCTTTTAATAATTCAATGACAATAATTTCTATTTCCAAGGAGCGCCGACCGATTCAATAACAATTATCCATCGACCGCAGTCGTTGGTGGTAGGGGAGGGGGAGGCGACCGAATACTATACAGTACATTCGCTTTGTAATGTTCTTCGGATTGTAATTAGTATCGGGCGGATCGTCTGATAGTCGTGGAAAAAAATAAATGCAATTCCAGTTTAAAGGAGAATATAACTCGTATAACAGAATGCAAACGAAATTACGGGGGTGGGGGGGGGGGAACTCGGGGAAAATTCAATTAAAAAAATATAAAAAAACAAAACAGTAGGATAATGAGTTTTAGAAAAATGTGTGCATATTTTAAACGCGAGTAGCGGTGTATGGGTTAAAAAAAAAAAAAAAAAAATGACGGCTGTATATTTGATACTATAATTTTATTAGTTACATCTGTACGGCGATATAACCAGGTGGCGTGAATAGTTGAAATTAAATATTCATTTTTCATCTGGTACCTAGTTGATAAAAACGCGAAGGGTTTACGAATAAAAATCTACTGGTATTCGGTGTTCAACGATCAATTTAATTGCAAAATTAAATATTTACTCGCAGCATTCTGACTTTTGACAGGCAAGAAGATGAGTTCGTAACACCGAGGAGCGATAGGGATGGACGAAGAAAAAAATTAATGCAGCGAGAGAAAAAAAAAACAAAACAAACCGACTACGATATCGATTTAAATTGATAACACAACAAACGTACAGCATTTAAGTTATACACGACTTATATATTTTCCAAAGATACAATTTATATGTAAACAACGTAATATGTTAAATAGTTTTCACTAGGGGGTGTTAGCATATTTTTAAGCGGTGACTAGCATATTTACCATGATAATAATAATTATATATAATATACATGTTATATTGTTAATTTTATAGAATATGTACAACTGGTTTTTTTTTGTTTGTATTTTTTTATCATATACATCATTATAGGACCACTCTCTGTCCGTATGCAAATAATTTCCTGTACATAATGATAGCAATAATACAATTTAATCGCTAAACACTTTTTATAAATAAAAATTCAATAAAAACTATTTTACAATAAAGTAATAAATAATAATAGTTTAACAATGATTGAAAAATCTATTTTCAAAGCTTACAGCTAGTGTAAACAATAGATTATACAATGAAATGGAACAAAATGTAGTGGGAAGGTATTAAAAAGTTATAACAATACATAAGTCCCATCATTGTTGGTTAACTTTTTAAAAAAAACTCAGTAAGTCTCATTCAAATTTTAAGAACTAAAATTAACTTATGACCTAAAAGTTTTTTTTTATCATTTGTTTTTAATATTTTCTTTCTTCTTTTTATTTTAATTAGTTAGTTTTAAAATGGTATGTATGCATAGATATATAGTTAAGTATCGTCATAAACTGTATTTGGCGATCAATCGCTACCGGAGAAGTACAACGAACAATGACGCCGAAACGAAAACAGAGATCTCGTTGGTTTTGATTGATTGAGCAATATAAATGGAAGGCGAGTCGCTCGATGCTGTAAAAAAAAAAATTAAAATATATATATATATAGGTATTATAATCATAATACATGAATTATTGAACAAGCAAGATGCTAAATTTATTAAATATGGACAACAATTATTTTTTCAATTACGGTTTTAGGGAATGGCAGTGCTGTTTAATTTTTCTAAAAACACCACCACCGATGACCGTACTGAAGTGTTAGCATAATAGTTATCATTACTTTCTGTGCAAGAGTTAGATGCTATACCGCGGAATCAAACGTACATTTTCTCGGATAATTTTAATTACAGTTTTAAGAGGATGCCACACTCTTATGTGTTGTCTCCATCTGATAAACATACAACATAAAATATGTGCGTTCAGTAGTTCAAATATAGTGATTTTAGGCTTTAATTTTAGAGTAAACTAACCTATAGTTAAATTTAAGGGAAGAACATTGTTTGTGTTTTATTGGTCGGATTGTTATATTTTAATTACAAGCGAGTTATGAGAACTTGTTTAAAAATATAAATATAGTAAAGAATCGACCAACAAAACATACAATGTATGTAATATTCTTCCCTTAAAATTTGACTATAGGTCAGTTTAATATTAAAGTTAATGTCACATTTGAACTACTGAATGTAAATTTTATAAGTTGTGTGTCCGACAAAGAAAAAACATAAGAATATGACGTCCTTTTAATTTCCAAAAAAATGAGAGCAGATTGTGCCATGTTCGACTAAAAATTTATTAAAACTTAATTAGAAAATTGCTATTAATGAAATCTATTTGAAGTATTTATTCAAAAAAAACCCCCAAGGTCGATATTAATTTATGGAAATTAAATGTTAAAGAACAGTTCACGAGTACGGATGATAAATTAATATTTTCAAATTTGAGGTTGAATTAAACACATTTAAAATTTTCAATAAAATTCAAGGATAATTTTTTTTTTTTTGTAAGGTTTCAATTTCTATATAGTTACCCTCCAATGGGTGATTTATGGCTCGGAATTGTTGTAGTTGGTAGGTTTTGTAGAATTTAGACTAGTATAGTTAACGTTTTAGTTAAATTTTTTTTTGGACAAACATGGATATTATTTTGAAGTTGTGTAGGATTAAAGATGCTTGTACAATTGTCTATATTCATTTAATATGAAAAATAGAAAAATGGAATTGTATTAATAAATATATTAACTATAATTAAACTGATACATGTTAAGAATTACTATACAATTTAAAAGTTAAATAAAATCTAAGTCTCATTAAACTAATGGTTCAGCAAATTATTTTTTCGAGGTCGGAATATGGTATCGCATAAACGAATAACCGAATATTATAAAAAATTTCATTTACTGATCACAAATTATGTACTGTCAATATTTTAATTATAATATGAAATGTGTATGAATTGTATACGAATTCTTCGGTGAGCAACGTGCACAATGGCAAGTAATTGTTGGAACATTAATGGCTTTTTTTATAATTATAGTGCATTATAATTAGAAGAAAATCAAATAAAAATAATCAAGTTATTTAGTAGGAAAAATAAACTTTTATTATTTTTATTCATTCGAGGAATGTACAATGATGTTAACATATACTTATTCAGAAAGTAAATCTCCACCGGGAATTTTATATAAGATCAGGAATTGGACATAGATTGCAAAAATATACTTGTTCATAGGCTTTTCAATTGTTTTTCCAGCATAACAGAAATAGAACTTGAAATTTTAATATGAGGCTTGAATTCGAAGCAGGTATATAATTGTCTACATAACAGAAAAAAAAATACAAATATTTACTGAAAACATATTTTTGTTTTTGAAAGTTTTAATTATTGTTTACTCTACTAGTCGACCCGAATACTTTATTTGTAGTTCTGTGTTGATATTTTGATCGATAAGAAAAAGTATTAAATTGTAGTTATTTTAAGATTCATGATTTTAGCAAAAGTATAACAAATATTTAATTCGGCGATCTGATATTTATACAATTAAATATTTATAATAAACATAAACACGTTGGCTCATCATTATTTGGAATTTCCGAGTATGTACAAATAATACAGCTTATATAACAAAGAACAGCCATTACTGGAGATCGTTTAAAAACCATCTATTTTATCATAATTATCTTAGTACCGCTTATTAAACGATCAAATTGGATATGCAATAATATATTAAATTTTATCAGCTTGTAAAATATATAACATTTGAATTGAAAATCGTATAAAATATATAATAATATATAATATATCATTACCTATGTATTACAATGCAATTTATTTTCAACATCCATTCTGATGGGTTATTTTAATAGGTTTTTTTCCATTATGAATCATATATGAAATCGTCCATACGTCTATTTTGTCATCCGGGTATATAATATCAATATGGTGGAAGAAGATACATATTATGTTAATAGCTTTTGGTAATAAATCAGCATTCTTTATTTGAGTAGAATTATTGAAGTGAACAGTTACATACATGTATACAAAGGTAAAATTATCATTTTACTAAACGTGCTTTTTAGGAAAACGCACAAGCACGAACGCACGCACGCACACACAACGCGCACGTTGGAATTTCATGAATTCAATTAAATCAGTAAAATTGTTAGAAATAATAGATGAGACGAATAAGGTATATTATTGTATAGTTTATACTTCGTTGTAAACACGGTGATTTGAAACATTGAAATTGTAGATGGGTACTAGAGATCAGCACGGGCCGGGCTAGCCCGACCCACACCGGTCTTGGTCCGAGCCGGGCCATAATTTAAATAGTACGGGTTGGTTATAGGTGGGATCGTAATATTATTCACTGGGTCGGGTCGGTCAAACCAAAACTAATTAATTTAATTTGTAGCATTATGTATTCTATATCTATAAATAATTTTATATTTAAATTTTAAAAAAATGTAGCATATTTTTTTTTGTAATACATTTATTGTCTTTATAAAATGTTTTTGTCTGCTAAGTTAATACTGAAAGGAAATACAGTTGATGTATATTTTTATTTACAAACGGGCATGGTTGGGTTGGACTTTGAAAAAAAATTACAAACGGGCCTGGTCGGACTAGACTTAAAAATAAATAAAATATGGACCGGGCCGAAAAAAAACAGCCCGTGCTGATCTCTAATGGTTACCATGCTATTATTAGTTGTTGGAAGTCGGAGGCACGTGCAACCTCGAAACGTATACTTTTATTCGAATGCCATCGAAATAAATTAGTCTGTCGTGATTTGAAAATAAAATCATATGAAATTCGGCGCCGTTTTGAAATTCATTTCTGGCAAATGTTGTGCGGGAAATAATTAAAATTTAACAGTATGCAATAAAAATGATTATAGTAGATTTCCTCGATTTTCGGCTTTTAAGTTTTAATACGTATACTGCACAATGAGACGAGACGAGTGGTGATGAGCGATATCCATATAATATTAGCCAAACACAGTCAATTGTAAATATATCTCGAGACAAATTCCGTATGGATGAATATAAATATTTGTTTGGGTAAAAAGTGTAAAAAACATACGTGTACCACATCGGAATCATATTTATCAATTATTTACATCGAAGCGCGCAATGTTCATGGGTATATTATTGCAATACATAATAACTAGACAGTCAAGTTCTTATTGTTATTGATTGTAGTCAGTAGGCATTTGCATAATTCGTAAAGTGATTTTTCAGAAATACTCATAAACATATTGGTGAATAATCGATTTCTTACCATGGATAACAATGATTACCGATAGAATAAAAATGTACCACTGCATTTCACTATACTATCTTTCTTGTTCAATGTGCATGTATTAAAACTTTCAAGTTCAATTTACCATTAATGTGTATTATACAGTGTTGGATATCTATAATTATTATACATAATATAGTATGTATATATACGAGTATAACGTGATGGTATTACAGATATTACATGTGGTACTATCACGTTATCTTTAATATGAACTGGTAATACATCGAACACAATTAAAGATTTATTTGGTTGAGAAATGCAAAACTATACACACTTCTGGAACGTGTCTATAGCTAGATTATAAAACCCCAAATGTATGTAAAAAGAGTATATTTGAAACATAATACAAAATATAATTAAAAAATACTTTAAAAAATAATTGTACTTCGAAGAGTAAAGGTTTTTTTATATCAGAAAATTAAATGAATCGAACTCGTTATCAAACGAGATCCTGCCAAAACCATAACGGTTAATATTTTCTAGGGGGTCATAACGGGGTTGAAACCTTGTTTAAAATTCATCGGGTATATGCCTTAACCCTTACGAACGTGTGAGCCCGGTCTTAACCCGTTGGCTACAACTCATTTGAGCACATTTACCTTTTTTACAACTCATTCGCGCACAATTTATGAACAATAGAAACCTTTTTTCAGAGAAAATTAACCACGTATAGGTGTACATAATCTGCGTATCTTTCTAAGTTTATGAATTTATCATTAATGATGGTGGAAATTATTATACTCTTACAATATTTTCTTTCGACTTTTATAAGGCTAGAAATTTCTAAGGAGGGTGTTATTCAAAATTAATTGACAAAATTATACACACAAAATTGATTACTTTACGTATATTTAAATTTTTCACATATTTATTATTATAATTAATACAAAAAAAAAAATATATATATTTTTAATTAAATTAATTTAATGCGTCTAATTTTTAATGCTAGAGTATCTATTATTTCGTTGGAGGTTACGACTAAATCTTGATGAATATTCATAACTGCTAAGCCGTTCAACAGATTTTCACCAGTTGTGTTCCTCAAATATGTTTTTAAGCGCCGTAAAGAGGAAAAAGATCTTTCACTGCTTGCAGTGGTTACTGGTAAAGTAATCAATATTTTTAAAAGTCGATGAACAGTAGGAAATATTTATTATTGTGTAATACTGAAAGTACAACAGTCTACGAGTATCGACTACAAAGTTTTGTTTCGGAGTTTAAAGATATATTTATATCCCATGGACACGTTTTATTTTGTGTACTATGTGGTAATTTTTTTTTTTAATGCATATAAATGCATATTATGATTTTAGAAGCATATTTATGTATTTTTTAGAGCTATAAGTTCCTAAGCCTAGTAATTAATAATTAATGCCGAGTCCCGGCTTTAGTGCTTTACATTATTGTTATCATAATATATATTTCATTTTAATAAATAAGTGTAAATCACGGCTTATGATGCATCTTTATCTTGATAAAACATATTAAGTATATGATGGCTGAGGGGGGGGGGTGTTACTACACCTGTAACAACCCCCCTCAATACGCGCCTGATCTAATCATATACTAGTGTCATACGCTGGCAGGTTTAAATATGTTGTTTGAGCTATTTATCACAATTTGCTTAAGCCATTATTTACAATTTTTTTGATTAAAAAAATAAAATAAATAATTTTTATTACAATTACAATTATTTTTATAACCAAGTCATTAACATAATTCAATAAATAATATAATTAACTATAAATATAATAAATAATTAAGTTTTTAATTTATTTATATATTTTAAAATAAAGTACTACATATTTATTATTGATTGGTACGCATTTGCATTAAAAATGTTAAAATGTCAATTTTTGTAAATTTATAATCAGAATACATTTTTTTTACGTAGAATTTTGTTTTTTTAAATATTTTTTTATGAATTAAATACAGTAGAATTCGCTTATAACGATGCCGTATACGAAATTCCGGTTAAAACGATTCCTAGCCATGTATTTAGTCGGTTTTATATCTCACGTAGATAATGTTTTCGTTATCCGGATACAACGAATTTCGGATATAACGATCTGATTCTTTAGGTCCTTTTAGATCGTTATAAGCGGATTCTACTATACTTGAATAACTCGGTGAAAGTAAAGATGGTAGGTATGCAATTTACTATTTAAGTACATGTGAAAATGTTTAACTTCGTTCGTTATTTTTAGGCTATTGTCTTGTACACTAGCTTATAATTTTGATCCAAAATTAACATTAGGAAAATCTATACTTATTGTTGCACGGTGCTATTGAAATTATTTTAGTAAATGCGTCTGGAACGTAAATTTAGTTTAAATATAATAAACCGAAAAAGTATTTAACCCACATTCCTCCAATCTCAAAATAATTTTCGAGTATTTTTTTAACAAACCTTTATTTTTTTCGCAATTTTCTGAACCAACTTTGTCCTAACCTGAAGGGAAACCATGATTGAAAACAAATGCTATGCTTTTGGAGTAACGGACAACCTGTACACCCAAAAATTTACCAAAAAGCTGGTTTTCATTGATCGCAATTTCGAAAGCAAACGAGTTTCTGTAAATTTAAAAATATATTAATAAGTGCGCAAATGAGTCTCCACCAACCCGAGATCCGAGGAAAAACGATCCGTTTTGATTCCGTGATTATCACTTTGAAGCTAGACATAACGTGTTTACTAGAAATAAAACCTATCCAGCACGATCTCGGACCTTGAAATATGTTGCTTACCGTGAACAGGATCGGCCCTGGAGTCAGCGTCTTGCTCGTCGGCGTTCAGACCGCCGTCGGCCGTCGAAACGGGCGCGCCGGAAGCGACCCGCGGCCGGTGCGCTAACGCACTTTGCTCCTTGGATTTCCAGTACACCGTGCCCAGCGTGGCCACGCACTTAAGTTTCATGTCCCTGTCGTGCCTGTTCCGCTGCTGGTGGCCAGTCGCCGCGGATCGGAAGTGCTGCATCCCCGCTTCAAACTTCAATCCCAGCGTGGTCACCATCAGTCCTTCGCGACCCACGTATTCCGTGTACGGACCCCGCAGGTAAGACGAGTTCACCTGCACACACAGCCCGTGTTAAAGTACATACGAGAGCACTGAGGCCGTATCAAACAGATATCGTTCGCCGGTGCACATCTTTCGTGTGTCGACGAAGATAGTCAAACAATGATTTTTAAGCTAACATTAATTTTAAAATTAATTTTGACATTTCTGTAAAATATTCATATATCTATTAAAAAATCAAAACAGTTGACGTATTTAGAGAACTTCAATAAATGTTACGAGTTTCATAATAAAAAGTTTAATTGTTTTATAATTTCCACTACGATTATATTTATAAAAATTATACATTAAAACGTGTGTCACTGAAAAAATAGAGATAAAACCCATAATTTATCTATCTTCATTTATCACGAAAGAGATTACGATCGTAAATCTTCTAAGGGTGGACCAATATAACGGGGCAATGGTCTAAATAACATAAAGCTTTCATACCGATAGGCGTTTTTCACTGTAAGGGGATAACGCGCAGTACAAAAGATTCGGCAGTTTTCCGGTGAGCGTGACAAATGCAGCCGAAGGGAAAAATAACATAATATGTCAGGATAATCGAATTTTGATGCACACGGAAATCGTTGTTTTTTTTTTGTACTTTTAACAAATGTTTAGCAACTCGACGCAGATCCCCGTCGTCATAAAACTTCGAACGGTATTTAAAGTAGGTATATTAAATCACATGCTACTCGAAACGTTCCAACAAACTGACGGAGATTATTTCGTTTTTCAAACGGACGTTTGGGGACTTCTGTACGAACATAACAATTAAAGTACAACAGGTACATTCGTCAGCCGGTAAACGTTCACTATCATCGTATCGCGTTTTCAACTAATTGTTCTAAAACGACTGTGCGTAGCCGCAGTTGGCCGTTTTTAACGTGACTTTTGTGCAATACACACTATCGGTACAACAAACAACGGTGTTCAAAGCTGACTAACCTGTTCGCCGTTAATGTACCAAGCCAGCTGTACAGCTGGTTTCGATCTGCCGGAAGTGCAGTTCACGTTGACCGTGTCACCGGGTTTGTAACGGTCTTGTCCGCCGGATATGCGTGGTCCTTCGTCGGGCGGCGCTGGAAAGGACAAAGAAACGAAAACATTAAATCGAAACGTATATGCCGTATACGCAAATGATGCGTTATTCTGCACGTACGACTATATTACGTCTATAATAATAAGAAATCGATTAACACAGTCCCGGGAATCGTACCACGCATAAAGTATCAGATAAAACCATTACTTTTTAATGGTTCCTTCGGAGTCGTTAAAAAACCACTTTATAATGTATGCTTTATACATATACGAATACACGAGGTTATTCGTGTGACAGAAGCGTGCACCGAAGATTTTATTTTTGTTTTTTTCTTCCCTACCCCTCCCCCGTTTACCCGAAACAGCGGAGCGCTTATATTTTATTTCGAAACAAATATGTTTAAGTACCTGGTAACCGAAAACATTACTAGTACGGGCTAAAACCTCGAGTGAGCATCTGCGGTTATAGTGTAGGGGACGGAGGGAGGATTGGATATGAATTGCATGATATTATTCTCCATTCTATACGTAACGCGAATTTCTGATCACTCAGCACACGTACACGATTACAATTATTGTTGTCGCGTATAGGCAACGATCAATGGCGTAGCAAGGATATGGCGAATTGTGCCTACACCAGAGGCGCGAATTGTAAAGGGGCGTAAAATTATGCAAAAGTCGTATTTTTATCTTACAATCGAAATTGTTCCATTATACTTTTTGAAATAAGTAGATGTTGTCTATTTCTATACACTACGTGTGAATTTAATGATGATTTTTATGAAAATAGCACAAGGGTAAATAAAAAATGTCATATGAAGGAATTATCGATGAATTTACCAGTCATAAAACGAAAAAAGCAAATTTTTAAAGTTTAAATTGAATAATGTAATAATAACTAATAAATATAAATTGTATGCTTAAAAAAAATAATAAAATTAAAGGTTAAAGAAAATATTTTAACATCAAATTTTAATAAGTTAAAAAATGTTTTTTTCTAAGTTTGCCAGGGGTGTAGAGTTTTTCTACGCCACTGACCAACGATGTCGTTTTCTACCGCATTTTTGTGTCGGCTACAAAGCTGGCCTATTCTGCATAATGTACACAGGCATCCATAAGACGCCATCTAATGTGTATCGAAACAAGCTAGCGCATACACGCACACGCTCGAAATTTATTAAAATTCTGCGGAGTGTCATTTGATACGACTCCGCGCTGGAGACGTATCAACTAAAATGCACGTGGAAATTGTTTATATTGGTATTATGTTTCATGACTTCTCAGCGGACGTTTTAATAATCTGACCGCAGTGTACGTAAAGATTCGTAATTTCGCGGTTCGATTTTTGAACGAGTTCAAAGCCGGTTAAAAAAGTTTAAATATACATACATAAATTATACCATGACGATCTGGTTCTGTGCGGCGTCATCGTTAATCAGCACATTCGAAAAACTTTTACTCGCTTAAAAACTTTTTTCTCTTGTCCGGTGCGACATTATACGAAATAACATTTCGTTAAAAGTTTGGAATGTCTATGAGAGGAAACACGTAACTGATTACCATCCGAACTTGTAAACGAAATATTTATATATTTTTCGAGTAGAACTGCCACCACCACTACCGCAGTCACCTAATTTCGACTTTTGGTCAGAAAAAGTTTTTTTTTCCCTAGATGGATCGTTAACTTCAGAAGAAATTATAAAAATAAACGATTGCTAACGCTATTACGTCATAATGTAGTAATAAGTGCCTAAATTAGAAGTTACTATAGTTGAACATCTAATGAAACCCACTGCATCGTAGATTAACCGAACATCTTTAATTTTATAATAACGTGCGTGACGTTTATTAAATATGCATTTTTATTATATTTTGCGTGATAAATAGCCATTAAATCCGTCGAAAAATATAAATTTTGTTCACATATTTTTTTCACATACATATTTTTTTCCTCTTTATTTTTTTGCGTACCCAAAATATACGACGGGATCTTAAACATTGAGAAACGTAATCGTAAATGTCGTAACGATCCTCCCTCCACCTTAAGAGCATATAATTTACCAATCGAATCGATTTGGCGTATCCGAGAGATTACGGATGTGCATATATATATATATATATATATATATTATACACTAACAATTTTTCTTACCACCCCCGCTAGGTGTGAGTAGACGGTGTGCTTAGGGGTGGATGTGGAGCGTGTGCTTGAGGGTTGGATTGAAACGGATCGCCGAGACAAAGGCACGTTAAACCAATTTGCACGTGCGACGACAATATTCTAGTACACCGGATTTTACGAGGCGTCGGGGACGACCGGCAATACGAGATGTGTTGTTCCCGGTCGTTTAAAAAGCACTAAGGTTAAATAAATATTCGGTCGAGTACCCAGAGATTTTTAAAAGTAATATATATATATATATAGATCCATTTTGATCCTACATTGTATATGCATTATATACAGTGGTAATCGTCTATAACAATACCGGTTATCAAGTCGGTACGGATAAGACATCGGTTAAGCTAAGACGGTTTTTTCCAGGACGAATTCTCACCTATTTTTTTTTTTTTTACATATATACTATTATTTATCCATATAAGGTTTAAATACTGTACATGATGGCTATTCAAGAAAATTATTAAGAGAAAAGAAGGTGTGGATATATTCCTGATACAAGAAAGTTTTATATAGGATGAAAAATAGTTTAGTAGTCCGGGGACACGTTTAAGTATTTTAAATAGTCGTAGAACAACAAAAGTTATAAAGTTTCAAGGCTTCTATAAGTACAAACGCATATCACATGTCACATGCATACAAATCTGGAAACATACAACTATTGAGATAATAAATAATAATACAGGTATAAGAAGACTAAGAAGTGGATTGTTAAGCTCTTAAAAAATGATTCGGTTTTGATTGAACGGCAAAACTACTGGACTGTTTTAGTGGAGTGAAGAAGAGCATTTGTTCTTTCTATTACACGGTCACGCAAAATGCCGGCACCGTGTCATGTAGCAGCTGTTTACTAACATTACAGATAGTGGCAACCGGACAGCGCGATAAACTTGGAGGTGTACCAGACCAAATTAATGTTATCATATTATACGATTTTATTCGTATGGTGGAAATCAAATCGCCGCATTCGAGGCACGATAAAATTTGGATATTTAACTTAATATTTTTTTAAATAATTGCGGATTTCGATGAAGAATTTAAAATTATTCTCGTTCAAAACATACCGGCACTGTGAAACAAATTATACGAAAATAATTAAAAAAAAACTCATTTTTGTAGATTATTAAATACTGTATTAAAAAATCCAATTTTTTCTCTACCATTAGATGGGATGTACCCAAAAAATACAATTTTTTGATATCTTTTTCGACGACAAATTTATTATCAAAGTGTAATAATATATTAACCATTATAACTATTATTATAACAACGTATGATTGGAGTTTTCTTTTAAAACTAAACTTGTATAAAAGTATTCAAAGGTAACTTGGGACTGACGATAAACGTGCAGAAACAGTGTATTCATTTGGTTGTTACTGATCAGATTTTTACCGTTTGGTCAAAACTAAATAACGTGTAATGAACCTTAGTCAAGAAATTATAGTGAACCTTGATGTTGTAATTATAATATTATTGTTTTGTATTTGGAAATTTTTACAATTTGGTTCGAATAGTATAATAACTAATGAAATCGTACAGTAGTACCGTTAAGTCTTACATTTTTGGGTAAAGGTTTACTGAAATTTAAAAATAGTTTTAATTAAATGTTTAGGAATATAAGTTCCACCCCAAGTGCACATTTATAATGTAACAACGCTCACGCAGATTTTTGTAGAACATATATTGATTTATCGTTTATTTGCAAAATCAATACCATTAGTTCAAGTAATATTGTTTAATTTTTTTTTGAATCCATCATAATATAAAGTAAAAAAGACAAATCGATCATAATGTAATAGAAAAGAATGACTGATGTTATCGAAATTGATTAATATTGTTTATAAAAAATAATATGAAACTAAATAGTCAATAAAAATTATACTGCCACTGTTGGTTAAGGTTTTTTGTGTTTACTACATTAATTTGCTAAACTTTATTTTTCCTTAACCATACAACATATAAACATAACGGTCTTGAATAGGCAACCAGAAAATAGGTATTTTTATAACTTCTGATCTAATTATTTCCGTAAAAACATGTTTTTAATTATTACATAATATACATAGTACTATTGATTAATGCAAATTTTATATGCAAAGTTTTCAGTATACATATATTACAAAATAAAATATGTAACCAAGCGATAACAATATATTCCTAATTTGTAAATTAATAGAGTGCGTACAATCAAAATGAATTAATGCGAATTTTCTAAAATCGTACTAATACTCGTATAATTATAGATAAAACACGAATATTAAATGGCACTTTAATAAGAACAAATATTATTAACATTCTTTTAAATGTATTGAAATTCAGAGCAAACCTCGGTTGTTTTGTGTAGGGGAGAAGGAAGAAATTGAGAATTAGTATTATTTGAACAAATATTAGTATTGTATAAAAATACGTTTTGTATATGTTAATAATATTCTGATGAAAAAACGTATTTATGATAATTTTTCTACGTTTTAACAAAATATATTTATTAAAAGGACATAAAATTACAGAAAGTGATGATATGAAACATAAGTATAAAATATAATAATTCTAAAAGCGAAAACGAAAGGGGAAAATTAGACAATAATGTTTACATTATTTGCAGGACAGGGACAATCTGCATTTGAAATGGTTTTGCCCATAGGCGGTTGGCAAATGAGATGAAACATAGAATACAACATTCGAGCGATGCACAACGAAACGTGGAATGATATGCCAGATAAAAGATCAGTAGCATCAAAAGGAACCATTCAAAGGAAATGAAATAAAACTGACATAAGCATCAAGACGACGAGCTACGAGTAAGTTGGTATATTTAATATATTTAAAACGAGAGAATAGTTATGCTACCGAGGATATATTAGCCTATTAGAATAAAAGCGACGCGAGAGACAAACTTGTTTTGGACACGTTCAATTCAGTTAATTTTTGGTCAAACGGAGCATTCTCCACGGAGTATAATACAGTTATATTTTATAATAGTGTTCACTCAGTTTGAATGAACGCTGAGAATTAAATTTCAAATAAACTCAAAAAATACACCAATGATTTAGTTACAATATGCACGTACATTATTGGAAAAAATATAATTATTATTTTTACGATAAGGAGTCTTAACAACAATCAACGATTACAGTTCTTAATTTTTCTCAAAGTTCCTTTAAGTGAGTTTAACTTATATCAGTAGAGTTAACGAATTTAAATCCATTTTTATAACAGCCACAATCGCGTCTCTTGAATACCGTTTTCATCTTTTTTCATCATGTATCTTATTATAAAAATATATTATGTGTATATGCACTTTATAAACATCCACGCACGCCGTGACCACGTTTTTACAACAGGAGATAAGTAAATATAAGATACCATGTCGGTAAATATTATACAAATATTGTTTTTCTCTCGTTAAAAAAAAAAAAAATCACATTTTTACGAAATGGAATAAATCACAGGCAACTAATTTGTAAGGTATTGCATACGGCTTCGAAGGTATTTACGAGTGTATAACAATAGCATGTACGCATATAATGCATTATACATCCTATGTTCGGACGATGGAATTCATTTGACAACGCATAAAATATATACAGTCAACGTTTAAATTAATGGGATTTAATAAGAATGCATGCACTCGAGTAAATATTTTGTTGTGCGTCTAACTCGACTATTGTTAAAAAATAATTCGTGCCACTTTTGGATTACATAACAAACGGTTTTTAATATCGCACCTTTTGCTTAACTTCATGTTTTACACATTTCGCAGTTATGGTACTGCGCTGGGAAAGATCCAGAAATTGTTCACGTACTATATAACCATATTTATACAAATAGGTTATATGTTTGGTAAGTTGTAATTTTAGGAACAAAGTTAAATTTTATAACAATTAAAAATAACAGAAAATAACATAATAATATGGTATTGTAAATTAATATTATCTTATATTATTATTATCTGTATACCTATATAAAACAGTAAGCCGATTGACTGCTATCAACGCACAGCTCAAACCATTGGACGGATCTGGCTGAAATTTGGCATACTGATAGCTATTATGATGTAAACGTGCGCTAAGAAAGGATTTTTCGAAATTTTGAATTTAAAGGGTTGAAATCGGTTTAATATTTTTGACCAGGTCGATAACTGCGCTATTGAAAATGAATTATATTAAATAAAACTATTAAAAAATTATTAAAAACTATTAATTTTATTTTTGGTAGTAAATGACGGGTATTGCATAAATATTAAACAAAAAGATCCCGCAACAGGTGTCAAAACAAATAAGAATGTTAGTTCAAAAAATTATTATGCATATCGGTTGATGATTAGACGCGATCAAGACTAAGTTATTTTACGATGCATAAGCTTTGTCAACAATTCATGGTCGAAATATATATAAAGATAGATAGCGAACGATTTCGATACTTCGATTTCGATTCAATCAAAAAAAGCTGCGTGCAAAAGATTCTCAAAACAATTGTTAGATATTGGAGATGGGAAAGTTACTACAGATGAAACGGGATGTATAAAATTACCGAACGATTTCTGCACAATCATTGATTCGCAAGATGCTCTCATTGACCAGATATGTCCCAGTGTACACAGACAATACACAAATCATGAGTGGCTGGCAGAAAGAGCAATTTTAGTAGCAAAAAATGTGGAAGTCAACGAATTGAATCTCAAGATACAAAATTTGTTACCAGAAAACTTGGTGTTTTCAAAAATTTCAATAGATTTAACAAAATTTAATCTTGGCAGGTTACATACATTTATATACTTAAACCCGGCAACGACGGGTAATTCAGCTAGTACTAATATATTTTTTATGTTATTTTCACTGTCAATATTTATATCCATATGGATATTGCATAAAAATCAACCATGTCAATCTTTATTTTCTTATTCTTGCCTTTAATCAAGTTGTAAGCAGTCTTGAAGAGGAAAAACATCAAAATTTAAAAAAATTATGTGTATATTGGATAGTAATTTTCATCTAATTGATTTAATGTTTCACGAGCACACCAGGTACTGTCAACTTGTGGAATATTTTTTTTAAAATAAACTAACCTTCAAATATATATCGTATTTTTTTAAAATTTAAATTTTATACCTTAAATCGTAATAAAATCATTTCAAGTGAAATTAAAATTATAACACAAACATATTAACGAACAGCGTTTGTATCATTCTGTATATTGCATAATTGTATTCGAATCATTCAAATCAACTTGATACTGGGAAACTATAAAAATTAATTTTTATAACGATTTTCTGATTTGTACGTACAAGAGAAAAAAAATCAAGTTGTTTTAAAACTATTTTTCTTTTGACGATGTTGAATCTAATTTACAGATAGAAGCCATAGAATTGCAAAATAACGACGTTCTTAAATTTTTTTTTTTAAAGAAAGTAACGATCTAAAAATATTTTATTCAAGGCTTCCTGAAATAGATTATAACTTATAAATAGATAATTAATTATAATTATAAATAGATTATATTATGTATAATATATATTATTATTAAGTTTTACTAAAAATTATTACTGCTTTCAGTAGTACTTATATTTGTGAGCAGACATTTTAAATAATTAAATTTGATTACACGTTAATGATTAAGCGATGAACATGTGAATATAGTTTTAAGAATATCAACATCCGATATAAAAACGGATATAAGCGAATCTGCGGGAAAAATGTAACCTCAAAAATCACACTAGAAACTAAATATTTATAATAAAATAATAAAAATTATTAAATGGTTAATACTCGTAAATTAATCTAAAAATATAGAAGTAAATAGTTTAAACATAGAAATAAATATATAAATGCTTAGTCTGGAGTACTATATTTGTAAAGAGAGAATTATATTTGTAAAGTACAAACGTTTTCGATAAAAAAATTGATCGTTAGATATACACAGTCAATAATCGCGACTGAAGATAATTTTTTGTACATTACAAATTTAATAATATTCCAGACTAAGAATTTGTATATTAAATTATATATTAGATATAAACGTTCTATTTTCCCTCAGAATAAATTAATAATATTTTTTAAATTTATAAATTTTCCCTACTGATGTACACAATATACAATGTACTAATTAGTACATATTAGTATTAGCGTAATAATGTATTAGTACTAATGTATACTAATGTAAAATTAGTGAATAAGGTCAGCCTCGCAATGTAACACTCATAGTATGATTTTTGCTACCCAAAAATGTATTAGTATTATGTATTAAAATCGTATTTTTATTAATATTTATTTTAATGTTGTGTGCGGCCCTCAATGAAAAAATGATAAAAAGTATGACCCACGTAAGTGAAAGGCCGACCCCTGCTGTATATGAACAAAAATGTATCATACGTTTATAAGTCGATCCGGAGAAATTTTCTTTAATATTTTTCGTATCATAAATTGTAATTCAATTATTCCAGAGTTAAGAAAACGAATAGTGAAGCAAATATATATTATAGGAGTTGATCGCTGAAATTAAGTGACATATGTTTGGTTATCAGGAAGGTTATAAATTAACTTATACTTCACTTTGATTTCGTTTTATAACTACAAGTATTCATTTCTATGGTCACATAAACTTTTTAGAGAGTTATTTTCCACCATCTCTTTCTGTTAATTTTACGAGCTACAAATAAACGAACCTGCAGTTGGATTAAACACATAGCATCGTTAAGCAAATAATAATTGCCGTTTTATGACGTAATAAAGTGTAAAATAATTATTGTCTGTGAGGTATTATTTTATTTGTTTCCCTTAACCTTTGTAATTAATTCGTCTTATACAGCCCCATAAATTTGTTTGTCCTAAGCATTTATTATGCGATCTGTTTAAAGTAAAGTTTTTCTTTGCAAACAAACATAAACGTAATTATAAGAAGCTTAAAAATTTAATGAGGGATGGAAACCTTCAGCTTTTTTTTTTCGTAGGAAGCAAATTATGTTGACGTAGTACAGGTAGACATAATATATTGAAACAACTTACCAACTGTAAGCATAGAACTATGATTGGTAACTGTTTGGAACGATGGCGCTTCGGCGGAAACTTCACACCGATATTTGCCGCTACTAGCCAGTTCCAAAGACTTGAGTACAACGCTTTCAGCAGTTGACTGTTTTTCCTGAAATCAGTTGATCAATGAAAATAATAGTTAGACTATAACTCGGATCGTCATATTGGTTTGAGAAGAAAATAATAACATCCATGTACAATAGTTAATTACACCCATCGTTTACATATCGGTACCGTTAGTTTCATCCAACTATACTTGCTGTTTTTGGAAAAAATTTCTCCATCAAAATTAATCATCAATATAATAATATTATATTTACTAGAGATTGTTTTTTTTTTTTTTATACGATTTCTTACGAACCGTAAGCTTTACAACAAACATTTTCTACAAATTCCGTACATATGCATATAAAGTTACTCGTTCAAAGTTTAGGTTAAATAGGTACATTATGGAATGATATATATACACACATTATAGCTGTACATGCACCTATTTTAATTAACGCGATATTCAAAGCGCGTCTACCACATAATATGTATTACATGCATGCGTATACTTGTAACGTTGTTTATCGACGACTAACTGCTATTTTGTAACGAACTAAAAAGCAAAAATAAAAATAAACCGGCATCTGAAATTTATACCGAACATTCCTCGTTAGTGCATCGATTTTGTTGAAGCTGTCTGTGGCCCGTTGGAATTGATGTAAACGTGTTAACGCGCGTAAAACGACACGCAGTGAGCGCAGAGTATAACGTGCGGTATTAATCAAACGCTGTCGACGCGGATTGCGTTCAGATACACATTTATCTATGATAATATATTTAAATATATATATTTGTTGGACGGTATACACACACATATATACGAGAGTTGCGATAAAAATATTACCAAAGTTAATAATTCGTCTTTCTGTGTATAAGATTGCATCTAATTTACCATCAAACACACGGCGAACGCATCAATTCAATCAAATTATGATCGGAAATAAGGCTTCATAATTATTACACAGACGCACATATAAATATATTACGCCCGAAGGAATCGAGCGGTACAATCCTTCCAATCAAATTTTGCAACCCGTATCCTATATAATTTACCGACTGGACTCCAAACACGCGTACCAATCAAATTAATTTACTCGAGTCGTTTTTGTATCATCTCTGAGTAGTGGCAGCATCTGCGTTTCAAGATGGAAAATTGTTTTCGTAGTCATTGGAGTTTCTTAGGCGGTGAAAAAATTCGTACAGAAACATGGGTATTTTTGGTAAACGTGTACACGAGATTTAATCGACATAAAATATGTTTATAATTTATAATTTTTTTTATTTACATTATATTACATATAAATATAACATAATGTACTGTATAACGGCCCCTACTGAGTAATCCCATAAGTCTTGACAATAACAAATTTTTATTATAATACATTTATTTTTACTTTTTTATTTTATAATAAAGATTTATTAATTTGATTTCAAAGCTAATTAAAATATATTCTTAAAATAATTAAACACAAACAATTATAAATTGATAGAATATTGAAAATAAGAACTTTACTATTTAGCTTAATGGTCAGCCGCATTTGAGTAGTGGATTTATGTACAAGGGGAGATAAAATTATTTAATTTACCTCTGGTGTTAAAATCATGGAGAATAGGTTTAATTTGATTATTTTTTTCTTAGAAAGTAACGGTTTTTTTTTTTTTTTACTGTTAAAATATGTAATTTTATGTAATTCCTTATACAAGTTATCAGCGTAGAAGTCTCGTATTATTTATAAGATCATACTTAGAGTATTATTTTACGTTATTTGTAGTTAAGATTTTTTTTATTTGTTGCAAATATGCTATATGTTAATTTTGATTTTATAACTACTTTAATTTGATTTTCGTTTAACATATAACTAAATGGTTTAAAGGTGTAAAGGAGTTTCCTTATTATTGTAGTAAGTGAGTTGATATGCTATATTTATTTTAGATTATGAGAAATGTATACACCTAAAAAAACTTATATAATATAGGCATATATATTTATGTACGAATAAATCAATCAAGTATTATTTTAGATTTTCCTTAAGAATGTGTATACATACGAGTATGTTAGAACAGAATACGATTGGGTTTTTGTTTTTGATAAAATAATAATGAATCCTATTAAATATAATGTTAATAAAGATCTGTCCAATAGTATACAATATAAACATAGATGTTAAACTTTTTAAAAAAATAGATAAATAAATTGTATTACACACAGATATAAATACATAATATTATATAATATATTATTTTGTCGCTATCCGTCGTAAATTATAGTAAATTTCACGTATCTCGTTATCTTGATACACGAGTAAGTATAGACGACTCGGTTATATTCAAAAATGGGAAGTGAAAGCGATTTCCGCAAACGAAAAATCAGGATGCTTGGATAATAAAAAAAGATATATAGGTTATTTATTTCGTTATTTTGAGTACAAGTTCGATTAGTGTGACATTAAATTTAATATAAATCAACCTAGTGTGATTTTTAAAAGGTAAGTACAAAAATATCTTAATTCAACAAAGATGGAATTATTACCCACACACATAATATCATTAATAATATTATTATAAAAATTAATTTATATAATTATCCAATACACTCTCACTTAAATAAATTTAAATTTAACATAAATGACAATCGAAAAAAATTGAAAAATATAAATTTAATTAAATGAACAAAAATTAATAATTATCAAATTAATAGTATATTAAGATATTGAGTCTGAGGGTAATAACTTAAAGGTAATCAAATGGTTGTAACATTAATATTATATTTTTAGTGAAAATATCTATACACAGATTCTTAAATTAAATAGTTTTTCGATTTAGTTTTTATTTATATACTTTTTCGTAAATAAAGATTTCGAAAGCTTTTGATAATTTCACCCAAATACAAATTGAATTGGCTTAAAAGTTTAAATATATTATTATATATGAATATTTTGACTCTTCAATGTTTTGGTTCGTTTACATTATAAGACGTTTACACAAATATTGTAATTTTTTCATTTTTTAATAATCTTTACATTTTAACAAAATTAAAATTTTATCTTTTTCATAAAGCGTATTAATAGTGTGTGTTTTTTATCAGAATGAAATTTTAACTTTTATACTTGGATTTTCACTGAAAAAAATTAATTAGTTTACTGTGTTTACATTTAATTAATCATGACAACTGAGTATAAAAAATAGTTTTATCATAACAATAATGATATTTTATATTCATTATATCATTTATGAAAATATAATGTTGTTAGGCGATTATAAACACCGTGAAAATATAATTTTTAATTACCAAGGTTTATCTGGAATATTATAACTTATTTAACATTCATCTGATTTAGCATAAGTAAAGTAGTTTAAAATGTACTTATAAACTCATGCATATTTTAAATATTTTTCGAATTATTAATTTAAGCTATTTCTATATATAATATTTATTTATTAATTACAATATTATTCTGTCCAAATTGTGTTTTATTCTGTAGATATAGTAGGTAGCATACTATATATTATTTTAAAACACTTGTTGGTTCTTATAACGAAAGACCTACGATAAATAAAATGAAACAATCGAAGAGAAAACTTGAATATAATATTTTGATGTTTCTGTAATATAACTGTATACACATACCAACGTGTAAACGAACTTAAATTGAAAATTCCATGCAACAATAGTATTATAAAGACATATAAGCACGCCACCGATAAAAAGGGAAAATCAGGTACATGTATCCACTTTTAGAAAGAAAAAAGAACACCATAAAACCAACGGTCAGGTCTTCATTTATATTTTAACTCGGAGTGCGTGTTTTTTTTATTTTTTTTTTATTATTTCTCCGTTTCTTTTGCTCATTTTTTTTTTCATGTTTTTCATCGTTTTTACCGACGGATTTAACGGACTACATGTATATATATTTTGTACACACGGTGGAGGGGTGTGTTTGTGTTTGCCGTGGGATCAAGAAGGAGCGACGACATCATGAATATGTTTGCGCACGAACCCGCATTAGCCTAAACCTATGTATAGATGGTTTTTCAGGATTTATTTTATTTTTGTATACAATATACTTCTTATATTCAATATGTGTTTACTACCCCCTTTCACCGCCACAGATATATCTTTTTGGGTCATACACCCCGATTACGTTCGACAAACGAGTATTAGCGGTGTGGACACAAACATATGCTGGACAGACCAATACAACTGGGTAGAAAATGAATTAGACGATCTGTTTTATATTATAAAATATACATATTGTTATATGTAGAGTATATACTTGTTTAAATCGATGAACCATTTGATCAAATCAATACACTTGACGTATATATATATATATATATCTTTGATATATATACCTAACGAATGACAAATACTAGTGCAATTATATATATTTCATTATTTTATATCAAGCTTTTTGCATACGAATACGAACAGCCACTCTCCCATGCATCATTATTATAGAAATCAGGAATTTTTGAAATAACTGAACGATGGTAAAATAAATTTGAAATTTTTCTGAGTAGAATTTTGTTGTGTTATAAAAAAAATAAAAAGAGCCTGACTATATATTAAAAAAGTAGTATGAAACGAGTAAATTTGAAAAATAATTATACAATACTAAAAAAGAAATGCCTGCGAAAATGTGAAATACAAGAGTGTTTATTAGATAATGTTGTACTTATAGATATATTGAATTAAAATCCAAATGTATTCGAAAATAAATTCCAGCGACGGCGTAAGACTGTATTACTCTGAAAACACACACACGCGTCAGTAATGTTTTATGTATCTCACGTAATCGATAGCCGCATGTGACGTTTATACGAGTCGAGTATAGTGTTATTTAATTTGCGTCGTATTATAAATAAACAATGCCCTAATAATCATAGTGTTTAAGCTGAATATATATATATAGAAATTAGACTACAAAAAAATGTATATCAAACTAGTATAAAGCATAGTTCAATTATTTATTGCGAATAAACGCCATAAAATCGAAATTGGGTGAAACGGGTAAAAATTCAACAAAAATCAACCACATAAATTATGTAAATCAAATTTTT